TTTGGTTTTGGGTTTGAATTGTTCTGATGGGATGTTTTGGATTTTTTCTTTTTAACACTCTTAGAGCCTTTGCTTATCATACTACAAAATAGTGAGATTGAATTGAAGAGAAAATAATAACTTGATTCCAGGAAAGCTACTATATATCACCCCAGATAGTTCGTCGATGGTTCTGGCATTCATTTAAAGCAACTGCAGTAATGTTGTAGAAAAAGATGATAGAATTGTGATTAGCTGATGGAATTCTTGTCATTTAATTTTCCAAACAATTTAATGAACTGGTGGTCCTTGAGTTTGGTCGTCCTATTTTTCTTACCGACAGATCTTTTTGAGGATAGAATTGTGCCATGTTCTGGTGACTAGAAAGGATATTCATTATTAAATAAGAAATGTATGAAGTCTCTAAACATCCACAGAATTCGTCCCAAGATTCTATCCTTACAACATTGCTTGTTAGTTACTCCCTTTATTATTCCCAAATATATTTCCCAAATTAAATGTTTCTTTTGAATTTATACAGGAAGCATTAAATGTTCATTATTTTCATAATAGTCCTTCTCCACCTATAAATACTCCACAGTACTGTTTGTATGCTATCATCGGGGGTTTCCTATCAATTTACTCAAATAGAACTTATGGACAAAAATATGACTACATGGACGCTAAATTCGCCACAAAAGTACGGTTATGGTTAGAATAATGTAAAAATAAATGTGTCATCAATAAGCGAAAGTACTACTATTGTCGGTTCATATTACAGTAAAAGTTACTACCTCCGTCCCTTAAAACTTTGACAAAGTTGACCGGCACGGAGAATAATAAAGTAAAAACTGTGTGGTTGAGATTTGTGCAGAGGAGAGAGAAATGACAGAAACCACAAAATAATTGATTAAAAGGGAAAGTGACAAAGTTTTTTGGGACGTCCCAAAAAGGAAAGATGACAAAGTTTTAAGGGACGGAGGGAGTATTATTTTTTATATTTGTTTGTCATTTTTTCAAACTTCAATGCGTTGTAAAAGTCATATTTTTCATTCATGAAGTTCCCGAAGCTAATATTACTTTCCTTGATTCAACTGCAGGAAACTTCATCAGCTCAATACATATTGCAGCAATACACAGCGGCATCTGGAGGGATGAAGCTACAAAATGTGATTCACAATGCATATGCAATGGGGAAGGTGAAGATGTTGGCATCTGATATAGAGACAGCTACCAAAGTAATAAAGAGCAAAAACTCTTCAAAAACAGCGGAGACTGGCGGGTTTGTACTGTGGCAAATGAACCCTGACATGTGGTATGTGGAGCTTGCATTGGGAACCAGCAAGGTTCACGCCGGCTGTAATGGGAATCTTGTTTGGCGGCACACTCCTTGGCTTGGTGCTCACGCTGCTAAAGGTCCCATCAGACCTTTACGTCGTGCTCTTCAGGTGACATATTACTAGGGATAAAATGGGGAGGAAAATAGAGGATAATAGGGAAACAAAATGGGGAGGAAAATAGAGGATAATTTCGGAATAAAATAAATACAGTGTAGTTCAAACTGAATAGTTCAATTTATTATCTTTGTTCAAACTCATATTTTCCACATTCCAAACATAGACGGTCCATTTCGAATTCAGAAAATAATGTGCAATGAAACTAGATATGGAAATATAGGGAAAGAATGATAGGAAATTGATGGGAAATAAAAGATAGAATCAATCACAGTAACTTTACTTTATACGCTTCCATAAAAAGCTTTACTTTATACATTTGCTCAAACTCACTCTATTTATTTTTTATTTTTTATTTTTATTATGTAGAGACTGAAAACTAAAAAAAGTATTTTCCTTTTCCATAATGCAAAAACACCCTAAATCTTCAATCAACAGCCTATTTTCCCTGAAAAGTTGAGTGAAAAGTAGCACTGAAAATTTTCGCTATGTTTATTAGGGACTTGACCCAAGAACCACAGCCAACATGTTTACCAATGCAAAGTGCACGGGAGAGAAGAAGATCAATGGAGAAGATTGTTTTGTCCTCAAACTCTGTGCCGATCCACACACTTTGAAGGCGAGGAGTGAAGGGCCAGCTGAAATCATTCGGCACGTCCTGTTTGGTTATTTCAGCCAGAAAACTGGTCTTCTAGTCCACTTGGAAGACTCTCACTTGACCCGAATCCAAACAAATGCAGGGGACGCTGTTTACTGGGAGACAACTATCAACTCGTTCCTAGATGATTACAGGCCGGTTGAGGGGATCATGATCGCTCACTCGGGACGGTCAGTTGTTACCCTGTTCCGGTTCGGTGAAACTGCCATGAGTCACACCAAAACCAGAATGGAAGAAGTGTGGACCATAGAGGAAGTGGCTTTCAATGTTCCTGGACTGTCGGAAGAGTGTTTCATTCCTCCTGCCGAGCTTAAGATCGGTGGATCCTCCATGGGTGAAGCTTGTGAGTATTCTCAAGGGCAGAGAGTACAACAAACCAACATGGCGGCTGCCGGGTATAGAGCAAAAGTTGCTGCTGTGGATGATGAGTCCCGCAATGAAAATGATGCTAGTAATCTCTTACTGCGCATGAGAATTTGATGTCAATTATTGATGTCAGGTTGGTTTTTCATTCTGGAGGTAATATACTGAGCTAGGGAGTCAGCTGATTGAACTCGAAATTAAACTAGTCTTGTTTTTACCTCATCAATCTGTATATACATTTAGTCTCTTTAGTCTCAACCGGGCTTTTTAATGTATTATGATATTTTGTCTTGACTTTGAGGTCAAAGCCTAACTCTTATTGAAAGCTTTAGTTGTGTGTTTCTTAGATTGCTTTCATAATAATTTCAGTCCATTGTCAATCTCCTTTTACTTGCTGCACAGTGACTGAAAATCAAATCTGCTTGATTGTGGCCAAAAATGTTTCATTTTGGCATTGTGTAGTTTTCACATTTTTACCTTGGGAATTGTCTGTCACTCACACTTCAAAATTCTCAGCAAATTCTAGATGCTGCCATGTGGTAATCTATTGAGCTATACTTTTCATAGGGTTAGAGGGTTGCTAATTAAGAAAACCTCACCCATTTCTGCGGTGACTCGTGAACTTTTAGAGCACCCCGATGCAAAAGTGCCAACAGTGTACGGTATGAGAGGTATAAATATAATTAATTAATAGAAAATTGTTTACATTCTTTACACGGTGTAATAAATATTCAATTGATCTTTGTTGATAATGTTAAGCACGTCGTCTAGATCTAGACATTGTACTTGAGTGTGGATAAAAAGTAACTGAAATGTGTTACGCCGTGAAAAGAAAGAGAGACTTTCTATTGATTAATTCTTTTGTGTCTATATTTCTTGTGTCACATGTGCATTATTCACATATTTGTGGGGTTGATGCATTTGGAGTTTGGACTGGCCCCACTTATTTGTGTTAGAAGTTTAAACAATCTTTCGAGATAGATAAAATTGACTTAAAATGGAATAAAATGATCCAATCGGTAATATTTTTAAACGAAGGTATATAGAGAACTATGATTAACCTATTTTGATGATTTGATCCAACAGACTTCATTTTTAAAAAAGGCACCATTCGGTACTATTTTGATTGCTTCAACCCGACTATCATTAACTTCATCAAATTTAACCTATTTCGGTGTTATCAAACGGGATATTGAAATATATTTTCAAATTAAATAAAGAAAAAGATATATAGAGAACTATGAAAGGTGATTGCTACGGAACTCATAAAGAAAATGAAAGTGTATCTACCACGCATTTGATTGATGCAAGTAGTTATTTCTTTATTTATTTATATTTAAATTATACATTTATTTATAATATTGCAATTGATCCATGTGAACAAGATATGCTGGTATTGTACTATGGAATTTCCCAAAATAAAATTATCCACGGTAACTAATTAACTCTAAAAAGAGCTACATTATTACTTATTTTTATCATTAAGCAACTCTGCAGCACGAGAACTAAAAGGTTAATTGTCTACAAAATTCAACTGATTAATCCAAAAAGGATATATACATCCTAACAAGTGCTAGACAAATGTCAATTTATACATGTCATTTTACAGATAATTGTCGGACAATTAGCGGACACGTAAGATGACATGTACTCCCTCCGTCTCGAAAAGGTCGATCAAATTTCCTTTTTTGGATCTCTCGAAAAGATTTGTCATTTCCAAATTGAGTTCATGATGGGTCGAGGATGATGAGTTATTATTGACGGATGGGTGGCACGACACACGCTTAGCTAGCTCAGGGCCGGAATATCTATCATTATACAAATCATGTGTTCCTTTCTCCATTAATCATTAATCATCTACTTTTTTCTACCCCGCCTGCTCATTCCTCGGCCACTCCTGATCATTAATGTTCTTGATTGGCATGCTGTTGTACAGCCCAATCGGCTTTATTGTAGGGTACTTCTTTTTTGTTGGCGCCATGCACAAGAATTAAAACTCCTTTTTAATTCTTTTGGTGGTGGAGAAGAGGTGTCACAACTCACAACTACAACAAGATATTATTACATGGGAAAATCGCATTTTTAATCCTTTAAACAGTCGTCATATTGAAATGTCAGATTCGTATTTCTGAAAATGTAAATATCATCCCTCAATTGCCCAAATTGTTGTAAATGTGGTCGCTTTGAGAAATGAAATGTACTCTTCACCCATATTATACATTTCACCACTCAAAGGATCACATTTAGTGCAATTTGGACAATTGAGCAGCGACATTTACAAACTTGTGAACACAGGTCTGACATTTCAATATGATGACTATTTTAGAGACTAAAAGTGTGATTTTTCCTTATTATATTATTATGAAAAATGCATATGATCTCTGTTGGGCCAGGAAATTCTAGTCGGCAGATCGGCCCATGTCGAGTAGTTAATTAAGGATGGAACCCAACCGAAAAAAGAGCAAGTCAAAGCAGATAAGTATGACTCAATAAAGGAATATAAAAGAGCGACTTATATCAACAGGGAGAGAGGAGCGACAATGGCATGGAAACCCCTAGCTGCCTCCTCCTCTTTTTCAATTCTTTTCTTCTCTTCTTTCAACCTTCTTTGATTTCAATAATAGAAAAACATCTTCTCAATCTGATTTCAGTTTTATTCATCTATTTCTTTCCCAATGTTGTTTGGAGGTATTATTTTCAGTAGCAAAATATCGTCTGCAAAATCTATATTCCCCGCCACTTTCGGTCGGGCGTTCTTGTGTGCTAAGAAGAGATTTGCACTGACCTCTTCATCAATCAAAAACATGATTTTCTTCTGCTCTCATATTGAGACGGATCGCCCTCCTCCTGAACCATCGTCGTTCCAGGAAGATGAGATCATTTGGATTTCTTTCTTTTTGTTAGTTGGTGAAACCGGAACAAATTCTACAGTTGAATCCTTACCGGTGGCTGGAGAAACCAGGATGTTTAAGAGTTCTTTTGATAATTATTGTGATCGTAGCAGGAGCAGTCTATCTGCAGATAGAGTCTACTTCTTTGCGGGATTAGCAATTCGGCTTTTTCGATTAGAATCGTCTGTTTCTATGTCTCATCCCATTGTAGTCTTAAGCTTTATGATTGTAATGTTTCTTATCATCTTCATTAATAATAATTAAGTTATTTTTTTTCAAAAAATCTAAGAGATAAAGTCGAATAACAACTCCCTCATGAAGAGGAAGGCTACTTTGCCGGATATATAGTTGGGCTGATCATGGGGGGATTTTAGCAATAGCTCTATGTAAACAAAGACACGATCACTTTTGATCAAGTATTCCGATCATTACTGTATTCAAAGACAAAAAATCATATATTTATTTTAGTAATATTTATTATTCAATTTTCCTTGATAAATAGCTCTTGCGCGATCCCATCTACAAAATGGATTGTTTTTAGATTAATCATTTCTTGCTCAATCAATCTCTATAAATATTTGGTTCAGAGCTTCACTCTTTATTGAAGCTTGTGATTAAAATCTAATTTGCATCCTCATAGTTTTTGCTAGGGTTACACGTGTCTTTAGGTCTTGAACATAACTTAACACTGTCACTAAATGATCAACCATCACCAAATTCAAGCATGAAGCAATCTACGCTTGAAGCGAGACAAAACGTTAATTGCGCATGATCACTCGAATTAGCTCACTAGAAGATCATGGTAAAAGCATCACAAATTAACTTCATGACTTGAACTCAAAGATCCCCTCGTAGGAGGATTTTTAAGTGTGGGAAATGGACATCTTGGACCACTCTCACTTGTCCTATACTTATGTATCTATAACAATGTGGATGGTAAGGATGTTTTAGGATGTTTTTAATTGAGTTAAAATTTTCAATAGTGTATTGTGTGGTGTTTCAAGTATGATCTAGTCTAGTTGAATTGGTCCGGTAAAAATATTGGTTTGATATATATTTTACAATTGTCGAAATCTTGTGTGATTTGTTTAAATTTTGTCTGATCTGGTTTGAAATAGAAATTGGTTCCATTAAAAACAGGGTGTTTTACCAAAATACGGGAAAAGTGGGATAGAGTCGCCAAAATACGGGAATTTGTTTAGGGTTTACCAAAAAGTGTGTTTTAGGGTTTACCAAAATAGAGTCGGAACTGCGTGTTCCGACAAGAGAGATGGGTTTGAAAAAAGGGTGTTTTACCAAAATACGGGAAAATTGGGATAGAGTTGCCAAAATACGGGACTGCGTGACAAGAGAGATGGGTTTGAAAAAATATGCATCCCCTCCTGTCGGATATGCCACTTCCGACCAGGGGTTCTTTAAATGAAAGTGGCTTGGCCGAAAGTTTATCCAAATGTTTAAAAATTTATCCAACTTTTAAATTTAAAACTTTATCCAGTTTTTTTTTAAAGTTTATTTGAAAAAAAAATATAACTCATGTCGGATTTAAGAGTTCCGAATGCGGGAGTTTGATCTGTTATATTTGATTTTATTTTATCTGTTATATTTTATTTAATTATATTTTATCTATTACGTAGTATATTTTATCTAATTAGTTTTATCTGATTATATTTATTTTGATACAATTTTATCTGATTATATTTTATCTCATTAATTTTATCTAATTATGTTAAGTAAATCATTGTCAATTTTACAACTCGTGTTCATCATATAGGCTGATTAGATTTCAAATGTCTGTATTCCTATTGGGTCGAATAGGGGTATTTATGATCCGGGTCTAAAATGTGAATCACAAGTGTGAATATTAAAATTTCATCTATATATTAAGTAACTCGTGGTCAATTTCACAATTCATGTTCATAATATATGCTAATTGCATTTCAGAAGATTGTATCCTTATTGGTTCGAATTGGGGTATTTATGATCCGGGTTTAAAAAATGTGAATCACAAGTGTTAATATTAAATTGTCATCTATATATTAAGGAACTTGTGGTCAATTTCACAACTCGTGTTCATGATATAGGTTGATTGCATAAAATTTGAATGATTGTGCCCTTATTGGGTCAAATTAGAGGTTTTATGATCTAGGTATAAAAAATGTGAATCACAAGTATGAATATTAAAATTCCATTTATTTGTTAAGTAAATCATTGTCAACTTTACAACTCGTGTTCATGATATAGGTTGATTACATTTCAAATGATTGTACCCCTACTGAGTCATATTGGGGTTTTTATGATCCGGGTCTAAAAAATGTGAATCACAAGTGTTAATATTAAATTGTCATCTAATGATTAAGGAACTCGTGGTCAATTTCACAACTCGTGTCATGATATAGACTCATTGCATAAAATTCGAATGATTGTGCCCTTAATGGGTCAAAATGGAGGTTTTATGATCTAGGTATAAAAAATGTGAATAACAAGTATGAATATTAAAATTCCATCTATTTGTTCAGTAAATCATTGTCAATTTTACAACCCGTGTTCATGATATAGGCTGATAACATTTCAAATGATTGTATCCCTGCTGGGTCGAATTACGGTTTTTATGATCCGGGTCTAAAAAATGTGAATCACAAGTGTTAATATTAAATTGTCATCTATATATTAAGGAACTCATGGTCAATTTCACAACTCGTGTTTATGATATAGGCTTATTGCATAAAATTCGAATGATTGTGCCCTTATTGGGTCAAATTGGAGGTTTATGATCCGGGTCTAAAAAGTTTGAATCACAAGTATGGTATTAAAATTCTATCTATATGTTAAGTAGATCATTGTCAATTTTGCAACTCGTGTTCATGATATAGGCTGATTACATTTCAAATGATTGTATCCTGAAAATGTGAATATTAAAAATTCATCTATATATTAAGTAACTCGTGGTCAATTTCACAATTCGTGTTCATGATATATGCTAATTGCATTTCTGAAGATTGTATCCTTACGAGGTCGAATTGGGGTTTTTATGATCCGGGTCTAAAAATGTGAATTACAAGTGTTAATATTAAATTTTCATCTATATATTAAGGAACTCGTGGTCAATTTCACAACTCGTGTTAATGATATAGGCTGATTGCATAAAATTCGAATGATTGTGCCCTTATTGGGTCAAATTGAAGGTTTTATGATCCGACACATAAAGTATTGGATTTTGGGTCACTTTATTTTTGTACAGATATGTTTTGACAAAATATATTGAATTTTGATTGAATTATATATGATAAAATTTTATCTGATTCATTCTATCTGATTGAACTTATCTGATAAAATTTTATCTGATTATCAGTTTTATCTAATAAATACTTCTAAAGTTATGGGTTACATAAAATAAAATTTATCTCGAATATAAATTTCTTAAAATAAAATTTAATTTATAAAATTTCTTAAAATAAAACAAAATAGATTGCTTTTTTTGAATATAAATTTTTTAAACATCCGCTAGTCGGATGTGGGCTTTCCGACAGTTTTGCTTTTGTTTTTGGGTTTTTTTCACAAATAAGCTTAAAACTAGAAATAATATCACTTTTTTCATTTTTTTAGTTTTGTTTTCAAAAATAGACTACGCTAAATCTTCTTTTCATAAATAGTTCCCTATTCCTTAAACCCTCAACGGAATGTTTAGAAGCAGTGGGGTTACAGATCAATTTCCCATATCCCACGTTAGCTAATAAACTAATACTCCGTACAAATTCAAGGAGTAATTTCATTGCACTATTCTGAATGGACTAAATTTTTGTATTTTTAAATAGAAAAAATCTAAAATTTAATAAAAAGTCAAAAAATGAAATTAATTAGGGAAAAAACTAAGATTTAAAAATAAAGAAAAAACTCAAAATCAAAATATATATATCACAAAATGCATAATAATGAGATTAGAAAACTTGCAAATTAAATTAATTAAAACTAAATTTAAACAATAAATCATGAACTCCTAAAAATGTATAGACTTAAAAGTAAAAGCTCAAAAATAAATAATTTAAATCTTTAGTTAAAAATCTGGAAAATTACTAAAAAACAAAAAATGTTTTTTTTGTAATGTAAATTTTAGATAGTTAATATAAATTATATAAATAAAAATTATAAATTGTAAAATAAAAACCAAAACATAAATAAAAAGTAAAAATATAAATATAAAAAGTAAAAAAGTGTAGAAAAAAATCAAGTCTCAAAAAAGAAATTATCAAAACTTTTAAATTAATTAAAAATTTGACAAAATGTTTTAAAGTACAAACTTAACTTTTGTGTAATTTAATGTTCTTAAAAACATTTAAAACTAATTATTTTTAGTATCATTATATTTTTATTTTTGTTGTATAATGTTGCTTTGTGTTGCTTTTTGTTTTATTTTAATATCTTATTTTTTATTTATTAGATATTTACGTTTCATTTTCTTTTTTATTTCGAATTCTATATACTATGTATTTTTTATTTTTTGAAATGGAAAACCAACACACATGTTATTTAACTATTTATGATCATGGAGCTTATCCAGGAAAAAAAATTATGATCATGGAGATAAGTTTAATACCAACTAAATTTTAATAAAATATACTAAAAAATAAAAAGAAACTGTTGAAATTTTGTAAAGATTAATTAAAAACAAAAATCATAATATATAAGTAAAGAAATAATAAAAAAAGTAAATAACTTTCTCAAAAATAAAAATATAAAGTTAAATTTTTAATAATTTAAGTGAACTAACAAGCATGAAATATATAAAATTCAAAAATTAAAATGTGGAAAACAAAAAAAATAAAAAAAAATAAATAGTTACAAAATTTTAAAAATGTAAATCTTGTAATTCAAAATTTTAAAATAGTTACAAAATTTAAAAATAATTATGGTATAATTTTGTTGTCTGTTAAAAAAATGATACAAGTATAATTTTGTTTATTATTTTTGTTTCTTATTGTTTCTTTTTGTTTCCATTTGTTGATATTCCAGAAAATTTTGTTTTATATTGTTTCTTTATGTTTTCTGTGGATGGTTTATATTCATAAATTCAAGTTTATCATTTTAGATGATTTAATATTTTACTTCATAGAAGTAGCAAAGATAAATAAAAACCGAAATAATTAACAAAAAATCAAGATCAACAAAAAAATCAAAAACAAGTAGTAAAATGCAATAAAAAGCAACACGATGCAACAAAAAACAACAAGATGCAACAAAAAGAAACACCTTCAATACAACAAAAAGCAACAAAACTCAATATATAAAAGTATCACAAAATTATGTATTTCAATCTAGTATTTCGATGTACATACATATACTATACAATTTGGCTTCCATTCACTTCTTTTTATGCATCCTAACACACAAATCTTCAAGGTTGACTATCTTGTCTTCACTACACTGCATTTACATAGGGTACAGAAGGTCATTTTTAAATTAAAGTGGGAAAAATAAAAATGGATGAAATAAATTTTAAAAAATTATAAAATAATGTAACCTAAAAAACTTTAAAGATAAATTAAACTCATAAAATAAAATATGAAAAATTAAAATAATGAACTTTGAAAAAATTGAAAAAGTGAAAAATAAAAAATACGGATTATATAATGTAATATTTCTTACATCAATTAAACTATTGAATTATTAGTATTTTATTATTTTTTTGTTGCATATTGTTTCTTGTAATTCAAAATTTTAAAATAGTTACAAAATTTAAAAATAATTATGGTATAATTTTGTTGTCTAGTAAAAAAATAATACGAGTATAATTTTGTTTATTATTTTTTGTTTCCTATTGTTTCTTTTTGTTTCCTTTTGTTGATATCCCAGAAAATTTTATTTTATATTGTTTCTTTATGTTTTCTGTGGATGGTTTATATTCATAAATTCAAGTTTATCATTTTAGATGATTTAATATATGTATCTATATATGATCTTTTTACTTCATAGAAGTAGCAAAGATAAATAAAAACCGAAATAATTAACAAAAAATCAAGATCAACAAAAAAATCAAAAATAAGTAGTAAAATGCAATAAAAAGAAACACGATGCAACAAAAAACAACAAGATGCAACAAAAAGAAACACCTTCAATACAACAAAAAGCAACAAAAATCAATATATAAAAGTATCACAAAATTATGTATTTCAATCTAGTATTTCAATGTATTTCAATCTAGTATTTCAAAAATTATGTATTTCAATCTACTTCAATACATATACTGTACAATTTGGCTTCCATTCACTTCTTTTTATGCATCCTAACACACAATTCTTCAGGGTTGACTATCTTGTCTTCACTCCACTGCATTTACATAGGGTACAGAGGGTCATTTTTTATTTGCTCTAAATGTAGCACCTTTATTTGTTGCAATGCATCTTCATTCTTTCACTCCAATGCAGCACCTATATTTGCTCTAGTAGACAGGAAGGGATTCCAAGCATAGGACAACAGCCTCCACCCCTCTCTTTGCACGTTGAGCTAGTTGCTGATTTAGGTGAAATCCTTCTATTATGGCAAGATATGATAACACATCAATCAGTCAAATTTTAATTCAATATGCCTTATGCACAAATGTATCTATGCATACTAAAACACCCATCACCTAACTATATAGAAAACACAAGAGCCAGAAAGTAAATAGCAGTATGAGTTGAAAGCATCAACTAAAAGTTGAAAGTAAATTGTAGAATAAAATTGACTTTCAAAAGAGAGTATATATGATGGAGTATATGGGTCTGAGCCCCCGGACCCACATACTAGGAAGAACAGAAAGCACAAGACACAGAGTGGCGCCCTCGTCGGCCAAGGGACCCCCGTCGGCCGAAAAGGTGCCAACTCAGATCATGGTCCTGAAGCCAAGGAACCCGGGTGCCCTCGTCGGCCGTGCCCTCGTCGGTCACGCCCTCGTCGGCCACGAAGACCCCACAGAACCGGATTCTACACTTACTCATTTGTACAGCCCATTAGTGGCTTTGTATTTGGCCCAGTAGCGGTCCAGTTGTAAATGGGCCTCCCAAGCCCAAGGTTTGGGAGCCCAGCCCGTATTTTCTCTATAAATACTCCCCTTGGGAGTAGTTGTAGGGGTTCAGAATTCATTAATACCAAGCAAGTATACTACTTCTCTCTCTAGCTCTCACTTCTCTCTAGATATACTCTATCAATATAATATCAGGATTCATATTATACTTGGTTCATAAGAAAGTAGGCAGAACAATAACAATTTACCCTTTTGAATTCCTTTCACCACATCTATTTAAATTTAGAAGATTGAATATCATTATATAAGGATTCATTTCATGTGGTGGGATCAATTAACGATTGGCAAACATATTGTTTTAAGAATGTCAAAAATGAAAGTACAGGCAAAACTACCCCAACGAGAAGATTCCTTACCACAAAAGCAGAGTTTTCCATTGCCCAAGCCTTCTGTCAAAATCAAAGGAGAAAATCAAGAATAATAGTTTCCTTACTTCTCCGAGAAACAATCTTCTGCCAAAATCGAAGAAGAAAATCGATTAGGTCAAAACATGAAATTAAATAAGGAATCTCGATTATTTCGTGAAGGAATACGTCTTACATCTAGCATCAATAGAAGAATTCGGCTGAGGTTCACTAATCGTAGCCTACGAGGGAAGGAAGGAGAAGATTATGGTGGCGGTGCTTCCGGCTGGACGAGCATGAAGACGATTGTTCATTCGAAGAATGGCCATGGAGATGCCGAATTAGGAAAATGGGCAGGAGGAGTCTAGGTCTTTAGGACGAAAGGGAAAATTAAGAGCGGAGGGAGGAGCACCGAGGCCGGAGGTGCAGCAGGAGCTGCGCTGAGGCCAGAGGTGCAACAGGAGCTGCGGCGAAGGAGGAGCCACACGCGTCTCTGTGCTCCCGTTCGACAGGCGGTGAGGAATGAGAATGCGCCGATTGATCTTCAGTTTTAATCAAGATTTAGATCATTTTTGAAATAAAAAAGATAAAAGTGAAAAGGGGAAAGTCTATAATTGAAAAGTAAATAATGGGGTGACATAAATGAAATGCAACTAGAAAAGGTGGTCAGTACGGGATATTTCCACTTTGTTTTTTTTATTTTTTATTTTTTGATTGCTTAGGATTACAATAATGGAAAAATTTGTATTTTTTTCATTTTATTTCAACCAAAATATATTAAATTTTTTAAATATACACTCAAGAGTTTGAATGGGTCAATATTCCGTTTAATTTGGTAAAATGAGTGAACACAAATCAAAGCAAACAATAAAAAAAAATTGAACACCCCCCTAGTTGGATTACACAATTCCGACTAGTTTTTTTTTGTTTTTTTTTTAATTTTTTTTAATTCCTTCGGATTACACAAATAATGGAAATGTTAAAATATTTTGAATACCCCCTAGTTGGATTACACATTTCCGACTAGGTATTTTTTTTTAATTCCTTCGGATTATATAGAAACATTAAAAAATTTCGAACACCCCTAATCGGATTACACAATTTTGACTAGGTTTTGTTTTTACTTTTCAAAACTTTTCCTCCTGTCAGAATCGGAGAATCCGACTCCCGTAAAATGAGCCCCGTATTTTGGCTTGTCAATCCCAAAACTCTTGTAAATTGGTAATTTCCCCTCTTAAAAACATCGGGTTGATTCAATTTGGGACGAGACAAGACAAAACAGACATATATTTAATCCTTTCACATCAAACAACATCCAAAAATTCCATTCAAATTAAAAAAATTCCATTACATGCTATATGGACATCATTGGAAATGGACTGATGGACTGCCTTTCTCATGTTTGGCAGTTTAGTATAGGAATGAATGGCCAAGATGATTTTGAATCCACTAATTATATCATTTCTGCCAATAGTAAATGGTTGTTTGATCAGAATTTGAACGAACATAAAAAGAGATGTGCATGTTACATGTCTTTGAAAACACATATACAAGTCAAATCTGTTTGGCGAATAATAGTTCGGAATCAAAGAATGTGTCAGATGAAACCTAATTGTTAGTTATATTTCAAATCATGAGTTGAAACTTTCTACTAGTATACGGACTATAAAACAAGTAAACTAGGACATGCTTAATTTGACAAAATAATGGTCAACTCATCATATAAAGATAATTAATCATGTACTACATACTACCTCCGTTCTTAAATAAATGCAACACTTTGACTTTTACACTATTCACATGTTCTACTTTGACTACGTTTTATTTATTAATGTAATAATATTATTTTATGAAAAAAAATATTGTTAAACTTTTAAGCCTTATATGGGCTTTTTTTATTATTTTGTTATGAGGTGGCGCCACATCATAATCGATTAATTGTATGTTAATGGTGTTAAACTTTTAAGCCTTATATTGATAAATTGTGATCTTCTAGGTCCCTAATTGATAGAATTATTCTTTAAGGTCCAAATTTGATAATAAACCCAACTTTCAGGTCATAAACATTCACATACCAAACAACATTTATCTAAGAAGTTTAGAAGAGTCATGGTGTACAGCCCAGCCCATTATCGTAGCTGCACACAGCGACTTATCCATTGGTCAACCCAATTTAATCATTCTTGTTTTTCGCAGGAGGGGCAAACGAAATGGTGCTCACAAACTTCAATGGAGCCGGAATCGGATTCGGTATGGCTATTCTTTTCTCCGATCCATCTTCATTCTTCACTCCATTACTTTAGGTTAAGTAGTCCATTCATGTATTTCGCTAATATTTTCAACAATATATATTTATGTTTACATCGTCAGGCTTTGGGATTGGCTGCGGCTTCGGCGTAGGGTGGGGTTTCGGAGGTATATACGATTTAACTGCACAGCTGTTGTTTTTTATGAAGGTTTCATCATAACTTGTGTACCTAGATTGCAGTAAGTTAATAAGAAATTATAGTTTCACAAAACGTAAGTGATTTTGATTCAAATTTGGAAGTGTTTTCTGTGAAATTTTCCCTAATCTCTTGCATAAGAATTTGACTAGAAGTCATAATAACACAGTATGTGTTCTAAATTTAGTTGAGAAATGCCAGAAAATTTAAGTTAGAGCACTGGTAACTATTAATATAATGGATTATCACATCATAGTAAACAATAGAGCTGTTAAAAAACAAGGCTCACTACCTAAAGACTGTTAAGTTTTTTTTATGAAGGGGTCAATCCATGAATGTATTTTTCACATATTCAATGGAGTGAAGGTTAAGATATTTCCTTTGTTGAATACATGAATGTCTTTATGATAAACTAAAAGCTTAGATTGGTAATTTGATTATATTCCTGTATACTACCTCATTTTAAAAAACACATTTTATGGACAGATTTTTAAAAAGTCGCATTTTTAAAAAAAATGTCAGCTTTTATAATAATACTCCATAGTAACTTTAGCTATTTTTCATATAATTTTTTCTTTAGTTTGTTCATAAAAATATTTTAAAATTTCCATAATTTAGCAGATTCAGTTGTTTCCACCAATATTATCCATTTCAGCAGATATAGTTGATTGCGCAATTCGGTCAATTTCAACATTACCAATCAGGCTCTTACATTGTAGTGACAGTGAGATATGCTCATAGTAGCTTTAGTCACATTTTGTCCATAAATTTTATTTCAGTAATTATAATGAAAATATGATTATTAAATCTGGAAACATACAGCTATCAAAACCTAACAATTAAATATCGGGGTATTTGTGGTCTATACCAAAACGTTTCCCATAACCTTGAATTCTTTGAGCGCAGACATTTAAGTGCTTCTCTGTTTTGTCTATTATTTTATCTTTCTGCTGATTTTTCTTGTGTCTGCTTTCAACAATGGAGTAGTAGATAGATTGTCCATGAATCAAATCTGTTAATACTTAATGTTGATATTTTGATATTGGGAATATTCTTTAACCTCACCATGCTAACACAAGCACGGACAACATATATTTTGTTCTCGTGTGTGTGTGAACAAAAAATTGTCCTTACTTTCTATTTTGTTTTCGTGTGTGTGAACAAAAAATTGTCCTTACTTTCCTTTCACTCTGATGTTTGAATAACTGCTAAAATTTCTTACATAACCTCATCTGTTTCTATTTTGTTTTCGTGTGTGTGAACAAAAAATTGTCCTTACTTTCCTTTCACTGTGATGTTTGAATAACTGCTAAAATTCCTCAAAACTGCAGGTTTATTTCATTTTTTTTCTCTCTTTCAGGAATGCCGATGAATTTCTTAGGTCTTGGTGCAGGTAAAAAAAGCAATGTTTATACATACTGAACTCAAATTACTATTGACGAGAAAGTAGTCACTAATACATTCTCCTGACTTTCAAATGTTGTAATAAGGTGGTGGGTGTGGCATTGGAATGGGGCTTGGATGGGGATTTGGCAGTGGCTTTGGCAGTCAATATAGGAATTCCAGGGTTACATTTGATGGTAGTGAACCACTCCGTAGCAGCAAAGGTAGCAAATCAAAAGATCTAAATAAATAAAACCCTCGGCTAGCTGATGATTATCAGAAAACATTTCTAGAGCAACTTTTGAGTTTTTATCAGTGCAATCCAAAGCTATGAAGTTGCAAAAGCTTGTTTAAATGTGCCTATAACTTGGTGTACAATTAGTTAGAAAGCATTGTGTTGTCAACACGCATAATCTAGCCTTTTGTGAGTAATTTGCCATTTGAATCGGCTAAAACAATTTCCAAATGTAAATATGTGGTTCATCCGTTCATGTGATTCATTTACACCTCTTTAAGTAGTGGAAATGACCAAATATACATCTATGTTGCAAAGATAAAAAAATACCTTGTTTGTGCAATTATTATTTTTGAATAGAATTTAGATCTCTTGCGGGTCGTCGGCAAAGTTTAAAAGAGTCAAGAGTGTATATGAAAACGAAGTTGGTAAGGTACTAAAACAACATATTTCGATTTATGTCATATGATTTGATTAAGTGATATTGTTGAGTGTCACGCACCTTTCACAACATCCTCATTTATCCTGACTTGGGACATGTATGATATAAAAAATGATCTCATGTCGGAGTTTGTAAGGTACTACTATTGCTAATTATCAAATATGAAGTATATATTAGTGTCTATCACAGAAGATTTAGATTCTTCAAATTAAATGGAACACATTTTGGGACCATTTTGAAATGTCTCTACTTTAGTATGGCGTACATTATATAAACTTATAAAGTTTGTAATCATGGCGTCATATATATGACAGTAATACATCAGAAAAAATTTCCGAAATGGGAGTTAAAACATTTTAGAATTTGAAAAAAAGATTGTTATATTTTTATTCCATTATTAGATTGAAATTACTGCACAGTTTAAATAAATTACTCCTCCATCCCATTCTAAGATTTTCACTTTACTTTTTGGGACATTCCATATAACGGTTCACATTTCTAATTTAGGAAATAATTAATACTCTTAAATGACAATTTAGTTATCAGATATTAGAAATAATACTTTAATAACATCACAATTATCATCATTGACCCAATTATATTATGTACACATCAAAACTATTTAATTATTACCTAAATAATAGTGTCATTTTGTTATTATTATGAAAACCTTTAAACGGGGTGGAGATAGTACATGTTTAAATCCGATAATGTCAAAACATGATAGTAATTATCGTATTTAGAAAATAAAAATATGACAATCCTATTTTAAAATTTGCAAACGTTTGTACTCTTATTTAGGACAAATTCTTTACAATATATCATTTTTAAATTAAGTACTACACACTTACATTTAATTGGATTGAATAAAACTGACACCTGCTAATATAGTCATTCATATAAAGTTTAAAGAATTAAAGACACCTGAAACAGTACATAAAATTTATGTCTTTTTCATAGTTGTTTACTTTTTTGTAGTTCTAGCCTCATGTATGTTTTAACATTAACCAAAACTACTCTAATACTCTACAATTCTATAAATGGCTTATGGCTATAACTACAAAAAGACTGAAAAAAATGTCATAAATTTTATAATCTGTTTCAGATGTCTAATTTTTTTAAACTTTATATGAATGATTATATAATATCCATATGAAATGTCTACATAGCAGACTGGAAATTTACACTCGAGTAAAAATGTAATGATAAAGAGACATTTTATGAGACAGACATTAATTGGTTGATCACGTTTTCAAGTTCTTGACACCCTGTACCTAGGGATGGACTCGGGCCGGGTGGCCCAACCCGGAACCGGCCCGGGACCGGTACTGTTCCGGCCCGGCCCGACCCGGTGGCCCGGTCAGCGACCGGTCCGGGTAGGCCCGGCCCGTGGTTTTCCGGTCCGGGCTCGGGTCACCCAAAACAAGGCCCGACCCGGCCGGGCCCGAGCCCGGTTCGGGCCAAAAACTATTTTTTTTTTCAATTTTTTTTTAAATTTTCGGGTTGGGCTGGGTATTTTGGGCCATTTGGGGTGGTTTGGGGGGTTGGGGGTGGGAGGGGGGTTAATTAGGAAGAGGAAAACAAAAAAAAATGATAATGGGCCCGGCCCGGGCCCGGCCCGGACCCGAGTCCATCCCTACCTGTACCACATAAGAATGTCTTTACCTTATATCCATATGAAATGTCTGCTTAGCAGTATTCAAATACGTAGTAGAACTAGCCATGGACGGGCTGAGCCGGGCTCCGGGTCAGTCCTGGGCGGGCTTTTTATTGTTGGGGGAAGGCCCAGAACCAGCCTGGGTTTCCACCGGGTCCGGGCCTGGCCGGTCTCGGGCCGGTCCTATTTTTTTTTTTTGCTTTTCTAATTAACCCCAACCCCTATTCAAATACGTAGTAGAACTAGCCATGGACCGGTTCCAGGCCGGGCTGAGCCGGGCTCCGGGTCGGTCCTGGGCAGGCTTTTTATTGTTGGGGGAAGGCCCAGAACCAGCCTAGGTTTCCACCGGGTCCGGGCCTGGCCGTTCTCGGGCCGGTCCTTTTTTTTTTGTTTTTTTTGCTTTTCTAATTAACCCCGACCCCTCCTCACGCTCAAAACGCATAGAACCTACTGAAATCTAATTCTAAAAAGAACAAGTCTAAATACACACTTGTTTGGTACTTCTGTACGTTTTTATACAATTGGCATGCATTCATTGGGTAATAGATAAGTTAATAACTTTTCATTACCAAAAAAAATGTATACAGAGACTTGCCCTTTTAAAGAATACACGATCTACTTTAGACTTCTAAATGAAATTTGAGTGTAATGCGCAAGATCAGCTCATGAAAATGACAAGGGGCATGCAAATGAAATATTGATCTATTTACAAGATTTCACTGACTACAAGACTGGTTCTTTCATAATATGTATTCATTATAGTACAAACAACAATTATGGAGAATGAAACCCGTGAAAATATATAAATCAGAAGCAGTTTAAGCGTTTCTCTAACCGCAACTTTGTATGGAGCATTGTTGCCTCATACTTTGCACACATTCTAATTCCCAGCAGATTCCTTTTCCAATTCCTGAGATTAGACTTCCCACTCCTCACATATGCAATGCCAAAAAAACTGTTTACCAAATTGATGAAATAACACAATTACCAAACAGGCATAACAAACTCAAACCCACACATTTTCAAGTGTAAAACAAGAATAGAAGGGAGACAATGAAAAGATTGTAGCAATAAAGAATTAATAATAAATTTAAACAACTTAGGTCGAAAAAGAAGAAGCTGAATTATATGGCACAACAATATGACAGGTAAAGGAGAATCCTATATCCATTGTTATGAGACTGAGACCAGTAGAGTATTTATTCCAATGTCTGGTATGTTTTGAAATGGTAAGGAACTAAGTTGTATAAAGACAGAGATACACATTCATACTAAATCAAATTTACATTTGCAACTCTAAGTAATAATTCATATTACTACGTACGTATAACAAACTATTTAATCAAAAACAAAATATCTTTTATCCCTCTATAGTTTAGCACTACTTTAGCCTGACCATACCAACAAGATTCTAGCATTCGCCCAAAAATAGTAACCCCTACAAAATAAATTAAGATACAACATAGTAGCATAATTCATGCCACGTGTTGGGTTAATATTTTATTTGTATAATATCTGATAGTTCCATTTCGAGCAGGGAAGATACTAGGGGAAAAAAGTAGAGGAGCATACAAGAAAACATTGGAAGGGAAGAAAATGTGAGGAAATTATAACATTGACTCATGGTCAATGTATTTAATTATTTGCATTGTATAAACATATGCATAAAAACATAAAAACATTAATCATACATATTTCATTTTCATTTCCATTTTCTCATGTAAATCCGAAGATGAGAAAACAACTTTGCTTATCATTTGCATTTTTTTCATTTGTAAATTTGAATAAAAAAGGTTTCACTATAAATAATGATTTAAAAAGACAAAAGAAACTTGGTCAAGTTCATCCCATCTTTTAATGATCCATTTAGAGTTAAGAAGAGTGTTTAATGTATAGGGAAAAACCCTTTTTACTCTTGTAAAAGGATAAAAAATTCAAGCAACAATTTACCATCAACGAAATCAATTCAAACTCCTCATTACTAAACATGACACTCTCTATATTAAATTTCTACTTTGAGAACAATAGTTGAGCTTAATCTTAAATTGATAGATGTACAAAGCTCGAATGAACAGACTCACCTATCAAGCAGAGGAGAATGATGGTGAACCCCACACGAACAGAGCGACTATATTGTACATAATACTGAGACCTCTGAATCTGTCTATGTGCAGCTCCGTACCAACTATACAGTTGCTTGTCATAACATTTATCACATCCATCTAGACAACTCTTACATCGTTCATAGCATGCGTTGATGCCCTTTTTGGAACAAAGCATCATGGATTATAATTTATAACATCACAATTACAATGAACAAGAAATTTAGGGAAAATAGCACTTTTTGTCAATTGATTATGAGATTTGATACCAAATTAATTTTTAGTGTCACCACTTTTAGTTCCTATATTATCCATATAATAGAGGTCTGTGTCCCTCAAAAAATTAAATGTCAGATGTTAGTTCTCATTACAGTATAAACTCTCTTCTGAACTTTAAAATGGTCTAAAATGACTTACAAATTTCTTCAAAGGCAATTAAATCATACGGAGTAGATTTTAAAGATATTACGGAGTATAAAATTCTTTATGGAATAAAGGACCAAAATATCATAGCAGTTCACAACAGTGATAGTTTCTTTTACATTTACAAAATAATTTGAAGTTATAATTTAAGGTTTTAATCCATATATTACTTTATGACAGTTTTATTCTTACTATTTTGTGGATTCAGTTTCATGAAGGCCTAACTATTGATTGACAAATGTTGACTTTATCACTGTTTGGTTAAAACAATATTCAATTATGGGGTATAATCTTAGTATCCTTGAAACTAAAAGCTATATAAATACAGAGTATTACATACGGAGGATTAAATATTTCAGTTATAAATTAACAGTTGTTTTCAAAAAGGGATTCAAAACACCTTTTTACTGTGAATTAAGGGTCCGTTTAGTTTGACGATTCAGAGGAAAGAAATGAGAGATATTAATTTTTGAAACAACTTCTACATCAAGAAGGCGGGAAAATAAAGTGAAGATAAAAAAAGGGAAAAGGGTTAGATAGGGCCTCGAACTTACAAAAAAATGTCAAATAAGGTCTTATATATGAGGTTCTGTCCGGCCGATGCCATTTGGGCCGGTTCCCGGTGGAATTTTTTAATGAAACTTTTTGAGCATCTTATTCATTAAGTATAGTTTACTCATACCAACTTTTAGCTACAACTTCAATCGGGAAGGCATTCAAATAAATTCTTGAAGATAAGTGTGCCGTTAAAAGCACAGTTATCCTCAAGAATTTATTTGAATGCCTTCGCGATTGAAGTTTTAGCGGAAATTTGGTATGAGTAAACTAGACTTAATGAATAAGATGCTCACAAAATTTCATCGAAAAATTCCACCGGAAACCGGCCCAAATGGCGTCGGCCGGACAGAAACTCCTATATAAGGCCTTATTTGACATTTTTTTGTAAGTTCGAGGCCCTATCTGACCTTTTTCTCATAAAAAACAATATAGAAATACAAGCTCTAACTAATCATATAGTTATTTCTAGTCTAACTGTAACAAATAGATATATTATTAGTAAAATAAGAGTCAATTATCCCCTCCCCTTCCCTCTGAAACCCCTGACCAAAAAGCCCTAAATTTCTAAAGGACAAAAATAAAAGTGGCGACACTACTAAATCTACTATTGACCAATAACTTCAACCGAAAGTGTTATTTTGCCATGAAATTATAAAGAACGGTTCAAAATGCAAAAGAAACAAAGACAATACATTAACTAACTCACCCTAGGCAACTCCTGAGTCCGTGGTAAAGTAGCATCAACAACATCATTGTGGCAATCTGTGTTCTTCAACTTTCTGTAACCATTCTTTCCAAACTTCAATTTGGCTGCACATTCCATCGTATTCAAAAATCCTGAAAAGCTAGGAACCTTCCGAGGGGGTGGTCCCGCTTGTGTGTTGGCGACATCATCGGTGACTGCAATCTTCCAGGAACCTATATCGGCACTGGCACTTGCGGTTCTTCTATGTCCCGCAATCTTCTCTTCATTAACATCTGCTAAACGCCCTTTCTCTCCCGGCTTCTCTTTTTGCCGAGGAACATTCCCGGACAGAAACAGTGCAAGTTCATCCCTTTCCCCCTCATCCAAACGCACCCATGGTGATGGTGGCTTTCCTTGGGAGATGGCTGACTCGTTTAAAGATCTCTCTACTTTCTTAATTTGACAGTCAATCGCAACAACAAACTCACTATGTCTATGTTCTGAATCATCAGCTGTGGAATTAGCGTAGCTTGATTTAACTGCCTTCTCAAACTCCTCTAACTGCATTTTCATCCATAATAACAGTCCATATTCCACAAGTATAAGTTCTTTGTTTCTTCTACATAAAATTAACTTTACAAGAATCACACTGTAGTTGATAGATGGAATCATGGAAACATAATAATTTTAGGGTTCACCTGCCATTTAGCTGTGCCAAGAGCAGTCTTTAGATCTCGGCGTATATCTTCGGAGTTACAAGCCTTAGACTTATCCTTGGCCACTTGAATCCATGTTCTATAAGCTGATTCCATCCTTCATTTAGGAAAATCAAATTGACAAACAAAAAGATGTTTAACCAATTAAAATATGACTGAGAACCCAATCAAAGCATCGATATATACATATTAGCAATTAGTAGGACAGGCAATTAAAACAAACAAAAATAATAAAACAGAACGAATAACATCCAAAAATACAAAAAGGAAACACATGATATTACGGGAAAGGTTACCTGTCCGCAGATTCCTGAACCTCCTCGGCTGCAGAAAAGAAAGGATCTTTCTCCCAGCGATCAAAATGCGTCGCCATGTATGTCGCCTAATTTTATTCTGAGTTTATTCCGTACTGTGCATTTGCAGATTAGAAAAATCTTGAAATTTTTATACGAAGAAATACCTAAACTAGAGAAAACATAGAACAAAAGAAAGAAATAAAAACCTAAAGCAAATCTACAAACAAAAAAATCTAGGCGTTAGAGAAAAGCGATATTTGGAATCGATGATAACTAAATACAGGGGCCAAGGAAATCGGGAAAAGCAGATTAGGGGTTCGAATGGTGATTAGAAGCTGGATAAAACTAAAGATGAAATGCATCAATTATTTGGGGGATTATGGTCAGGAAAATATGCGTTTATGCTTTATGTAAAGGCAACGTCGTCGTTTACTTCCTCGCTTGTGTGAAAATGGGTGTGGCGGCCGATACGAATTTGATTTCTTTTTATTCCTTTTTTTAATATCAATTCCAAACATTCTTATTAATCCAAACTGTCATTAGCCAAAAGACTATCAATACAAGTAGACACAACATCACAGCTACTATGCTGATTTGGGAGAATAACATATGCTCTTGCAATTGAATGAGCCACACTGTTTGCAGATCGTTTATAAAAAGAGATAGAAAACATATTCTTTGTTTCTAAAACTTCTCTAATAATATGTACATAAGAAAATCCTCCCCCGGACTTTATGTTCTTCACTACTGTCATAGCATCCGACTCAAATTCCACACTGGTCCATCCTTCCTCAATTGCTCCAGCTATTGCTTCTTTTATTCCAATTGCTTCAGTTTCTGTCATCGACCAATTTGCCTCCACCGACCCCCCCCCCCCCTTGCTTTTAAGAAATTACCTTCTTCGTCACGTGCCACCCATCCTCATGCTCTAACTCCTCCCGCCTCGTTTACCGCACCATCAACATTAATCTTGGTGGTTTCCTTCACCGGTTTCCTCCACTTTTCCTTAACCACAACACTTTTGTTATTCTGGCACCCATTAAATTCTTGTGCCTCCTTCCAACTAGCAAGCATGTCTGCTGCTCCATTTATAACGCTTGTAGCGTCCCGCTTCTAATCTTTCCACACCGCATTGTTTCTTCTCTTCCAAAGGCCCCACGCTAATGCGATAAATTTACTCTTCTCCTCCTCACCCCCCAATGGTATATTCCTCCTCAGCCATTCCTCCACAGTCACATCCTCCCCTAGGGCGACTCCGCCCTCCTTCCAGATTGCTCTTGCCCAGTTGCAACTCTGAAAAGCATGTTCCAGCGATTCAGCAGGTTCGTCACAAATTTTGCACCCATTCGTTACAACTACTCCTCTCTGCCGCAATTTGTCAATTGTGGGAATCGTCTCATCCAAGACCTGCCAAATAAAATATTTAAATTTAGGAGGTACCTTGGATGTTCAGAGCTGTTTCCATACGCCATTCGCCATTCCTTCCAGATCCCTCATCTGCAATTTATAACAACTTTTGACAGAGTATACTCCATTTGTCTCCCCTTTCCACCAATAACCATCTGCTAGATCCGCAACGCTAATAGGAATACTCAATATGTTTCTTCTATCTCCCTCATTAAAAATTGTTTTTATTCTGTCTTCATTCCACTTATTTCCTGTAAAATCGCGTAACGCTGCAACATTCATGTCATGAATTTCAAGCGGTTTTTCCGATGTAACTCTTCCATCATTCGTCCCCGCCAGCCATGCATCCGCCCACACTTGCACGTCGATATCGTTGCGTACACGCCTCCTCGTGTTCATTCTCAATAAGCTCCGCGTCTCAAAAATACTTTGCCACACAAAGGAAGGATTATTTCATAGCTAAGACCTGTTCCTAACTTAGCATTAAGGAAATCAAAATTAGGGAAATACCTTGCCTTTAGAATCTTCCCCATTAAGCTACCTTTATCATTAATTAGCCACCACCCTTGCTTAGCTAACATAGCCGAATTAAATTCCCTTAGTCTTCTGAAGCCCAGACCGCCCATCTCTGTTGGTTTGCACAATTTTTCCAACTTCTCCATCTCATTCCTTTCTGATCCAGCTTTGTTCCTCTCCACCAAAATCCATTCTTAAGTTTTTCTATCTCATCACACAAGTCCTTTGGCAATAGGAACACATTCATAGCATATGAAGACATCGCTTGTACCACATATTTCAGCAAGACCGCTCCCCCCCCAATGAAAGAAATCGGTTATTCCAGCTTTTTATCCTATTATAAATTCGATCTTTTAGGTACCCCAAAATAGCTCCTTTATTTCTTCCTACCATTGTCGGCAAACCCATATACTGCCCATGCTCTCCCTCAAGAAAAATTCCCAACTTCTGTCTACACATATTTCTGATCTGCTCAGCCGTATTAGAGCTAAAACTAACCGTGGTCTTTGCAAAATTAATCACCTGCCTCGATAATTCTTCGTAATAATTTAAAATCTTTTTAACCGTATCACATTCTGTTGGTTTAGCTTTAAAAAATAGAAAGCTATTTTTTTTGCAAAAAAATAAATGTGATACCTTCGGAGCACCTCTACAGACCGCCACCCCGTGTAATTCTCCTCTGCTTTCGGCCTTTCTCAGCAAAGAACTCAGTCCTTCTACCACTAAAATAAATAAATATGGAGATAAAGGATCCCCTTGTCTCAGACCTTTTCCCGGAACAATCGCCCCCAACGAACCCCTTTCGAAGTGAACATAGTAGCTAACCGTGCTAACACACTCCATTATCAGCCCAGTCCATCTGGCGTTGAAACCCATCCGCCCCATAATTTTCTCCAAGAAGCTCCAACTCACTCTATCATAAGCTTTACTCATATCCAGCTTTAGAGCTACAAACCCCTCTTTACCTCCTTGCTTTCTTTTTAAACAGTGTTGTGTCTCAAAAGCCACCACAATATTATCTACAATTGACCTTCCTGGTATAAAAGCACTTTGATTTTCTCCTATCAAACTTCTCAAAAATCCCTTCATTCGATTTGCCAGTAATTTAGAGAAAATTTTGTACACTACATTACAAAGTGCTATCGGTCTCCAATCCCCCATATTTTCAGGTCTCTCCTTCTTAGGAATTAATACAATATTAGTAATATTTAATTCTCTTGGAATTTTCCCAGAATCAAATATTTCTTTGCACATCTCGATCACCTCCGGTCCCACAATGTCCCAAAAGTTTTGAAAAAAATGCTGGGTTCATCCCATCCGTACCTGGAGATTTTTCTGGATGCATACTAAAAGCTGCTTCCTTAACTTCCTCTGTCGTAACCTGTCGCAGCAGTCTTCTGTTCTGATCCGGGCTCACCATCCCCATCGGCCCTAACATCTACTCGGCCGCCGTTCTAACCTGCTCTGTAAATAAATTCGAAAAATAATTTTGCACCATGTCCCCTAATGCTCTCCTGTCTGTCACCCAGACTTCGTCCTCCCTCCTCAATCCCTGCAATTTGTTTTTTCTTTTACGCGCCTTCACTGCATTATGAAAAAAACGTGAATTTATATCACCTTCTCTTAGTCAGATTTTTTTGACTCATTGTCTCCAATACTGGTTTTCTTTTTCCAACAATGTGTTCAAGACCAGACGTGTTTGAATGAATTCGGTGATGCTAGCTGAATCCTCCTTGCCCCTCAACCAAGATATTCTTTTTTTACACACTTGAATTTGATGCCGGAACCCTTTGATTCTACTCCCATCCCATTTTGCTAATTCTTTCCCGCAGAACAGAATCCTATCCCCCACTTTCATCTCCTCACCTGCTCTCCAACTGTTTGCCACAATCGTTCTACACTCCTCCTTCAGCCAATTATTTTCCAAACGAAATCTCTTCTCCGCTCTGTTATAGCAAGTTTGTCGAATCTTGATGAATAAAGCCATGTGATCATTAATAGGAGCTTCTACAGATGTTGCTCTAGCCTCCCAGAAGTTATCTCACCATGCATCAATCACCAAGATTCGATCAAGTTTTTCTTCGACCCAATTTTGTGTTCCTTTACCACGTTCTCACGTCCACTGGTAACCGTCAAAAGGAAAATCTCTTAATCCGCTAGCTAAAACCGCCTCTCTAAACCCACGTAACCGCCACAGAGGATGAGGTATACAAACCTTCTTCTCTGAATTATAAAGAATGTCATTCATGTTCCCCATAATCAGCCATGGAAAGGAATTGTTTTCAGCCAAACGCTGCTCCCACGCGGCCCACCTTCGTACAGTCTCCAGAAAAGCGTAATATCTGGTCAGTCTCCATGTTGCTCCACCTTCAGGGTTACAAACTTGACAGTCTACATAATTAGCATTGGCCTCCATCACCGTAACATCATAATCCTCATTCCAACCCAAAACAATGCCTCCACTTTGTCCTTCCGCATCGGTACCTTTGTTATTTGCAAACCCTAGCGATTGCAGGATGTCCTTTGCGCGCCTGCAGCGCAGCTTCGTCTCCATCAGAAAGATAATGGATGGCCTATTTTGGTGCACAAGATCCGCTAAACACTACATGGTCGCCGGATTGCCTAGCCCTCTACAGTTCCATGATAACACACTCATGCCTCCACCCTTCCAAGAAGCTTCGTACAATCCAAAGATGTAATCGAATAACCAAATTACCTCGGTGTCATACTCGTCGGACCGGAGTACCACCGGACAAAACTAACTAGGCGTTGCCGGGGGCGGCAAGCCTAGAGAGTAGGGCTGCACATCGGGCGGGTTGGGTCGGGTTTGCTATATTTTTTGAGCCTACCCAATTTGTTTGGGTTGGTAAACCATACATGAACGGGTCAGATAGGGTCGGGTTTTGAAAAAAAATCATTTCGGGTTGCACCTTCATGTCGGAAATCAATGTAACCAATTTGAAACTCGATTAACTTGTTTCCAAAACACACAAACAAATACAAGTACTCGTATCTTTTATAAGCAAAAATATTAGGTAATAGTATTAAAACATCATTCCATAAAGGAAGTTCGTTTAGAAGGAAACGTAAACATATGATAACCACCTAGTCAAAATGGTAAATGTTTAATTATAATTCTAATATTATAAAGTTCTAGAAAGAGCACATTGCTCTTAAATTGAAATTATGCAAGAAATTGTAGCATAATAATAGTAAAATGAACTTTCCGCCAGGTCAGCTACCATCGGGTTTGAGATTTTAATTCTACAATCCTACCCATTAGGTGCGGGTTCAAACATATTTAACCCATGAATATTTTTTAAAATCAAATACCCGATTAAATAGGGTAGGATAGGGTTGGGTCGGGCGGTTTATGCGGGTTCATGTTATTCTTGTGCAACCCTACTATAGAGAGCTGGGAGAAAAACCTTTATTGCACATACTCTTCGTTTTATTTTTTATTGATGATGACTTCCATTTCGTAAAGTTTTAAATTATTTGTTTTGGGATTATCTTGATGATGTAAAAGAT